AAGGAGCTCGCTGGGCAGCGGTCGCGCGGTGCCCGGCTCCGGGAGGCGGGGGCGGCGCCGGGGAGCCCGCCGCAGCTTTCCACGCGATCCTGTGCCCCGCAGACAGACTGACCGACCGCGGGGACCGCGTCCCCCCCACCCACCCCCCGGCCCTCCTGGCCAGCTGCTGGCCAACTGCCTCCTCTCCCTCCCTCTCTCCGGACTCCTCTTTCCCCCAGTGTTCTCCGGCGAAAAAAAAAACGGAGAAGAAAAAGAAAAAAGAAAATTTAAAGTTGCAGAACCAAAAGCAGCTGGAAGAGGGGGGGGGGACCTCAACTTTGTTCTGCGCATGCGTGCTAAGGCCGGCCTATGACAAACTCCGCAGGATTTTAAAGCCGTACTACGGGCTGGGGTGCTGGGAGGCGGGGTACCCCCCCTTGGGGCCTCCTTCTCCAGACTCCCCATCCCCCAGGCATCTGTTGAAAGAGAAAGGTCCACTCCAGCCGCTGCCTGCTCGCCGCCTGGTTGGCTGCCCTTCTTCCAATGCAGCCACCTCGAGAGGCTGAACCCCAACTTTCCGGACCGAACCCCTTGGCTTGCTTATCCCAAACTGCTCCCGCTGGAGCTCCGCAGAGACTGTGTCCAGACAGGGAACCTGTGGGAGACTTCTCATCCTTGCGCCCCGGGGAGGGTACCAAAGCCCCAGGGTGGAGGACAGGGTGGGTGCGCACATCCTGAGGATCAGGGGTGAAGGGGTTGGGGTGGCGGCACTGAGGGTCTGGCTGTGACCCAAAGCCGCTAGGCGCATCCGTGTTGCTGCCGCTCGGGTCTAGGTGGCTGCTTTCAGGTGAGAAGGCTGCGAAGTTCGGCCAAACCGGGTTCCGGGCTCTGGAGCTTCTACATGCTTCCAGATGCCCGCGGGATTCCGGAGCCCCGAGGTGGGGGATGTGTGCCCTCCTTCCAGCACGCTAGGGCCGGCACCCCGAAACAGTGCCTCACTGCAGAGCAATTCTCGTTCTGCGTTGTTCCTGTCCTCCCGTGGTTAAAGGTGGAAGACACACACACACACACACACTCGCACGCACACGAATATTTAATTCTTGCCATCCTTCGTCATGCACTTGACCTCAAGGGGCAAAATCCGTGGCCTGGATACCTCGGGGTGGTGGTGGTTTGAGTTTGCTCTGTCCCACATCCCTCACACCACCTACCCGGGCTGACCACTCTCTGGGCTCGCAGGCGAAGTCTCCAGCGACTTTGTCCCACGTTATGCAGTTTCTTCCAGTCCCTTATTGTCCTAGCTGATCGCACATCTCCCCAACACTGGGTGCCTCCCTGCCTCTGGCCTCCTTTACCATGCAAAAATGGCCTTTGGAGCTTCCTACAAAATGTAAAAGATGGATGCCCGCTCCCTCGGCCTTGCTTCTTTCTCCAAGAGCACACAGAGCCCTAAAGACAGAAAGCCCCGGGTTCTCAGAGCTCCTTGGGACGCCCCCCCCCCCCCCCCGTCCCCCCAGCCAGCCCCCAGCCTCCTGAGTCTCCTTTCCTCTAAGCCTCTCTAGGCTTTGACCACACAGCGACCCTTGAGCATTTTACAGTTTTTTCCACGTGCTTCAATTCTGCCATTCGAGGCTGAGATACCTAAAAAGAGAGATTTCGCGTGATGAATCGCCCCAGGGAGTATCCCTCCAGTTTTCCCTCTCTCCCCCAGCTATTTTGCCCAGTGGCTGCCCCCTGAGATTCCCCTGGCTATTGGAGCCCAACCGCCCGCCCACTGGGTAAACACCCCAACTTTGCCATGGGGCAGTGGATCTAGAGGACTCACATGTTGCAGCATGTGTGGCAGGAAGTGACTGGCTGGGGATGGACCTCCAACAGGGCCCAGAAGCCACCTGGTGCCAGAGGCATTCAGAGAGAGGAGCCTATTCTATAAAGAGCAAGCCCATTGGCCTGAGAATTTACTCTATCTATAGCTAGCCCAGAAATACGAGCTACCCAACTACAAATCTTTTTTTTTAATGCTGTTTTCTGAGTTATGGTAATAATTGCCTGCTTCTCTTGTTCAGTTGCTTTTGTGTCAGAAGCAGCCCCAGGAGTCCTACTCTGTGCTGTGTTTTGTGATCTTTCTTCCAGTGGAATGTGGTGTAGGCTAGTGGTGAAAAGTGCCAATTCTGGAGTTTCGAGTTCCAGTCCCTGCCCTGCCACTTTCTAGTTGTGACATCTGGACAAGTCATAGGACCTCTCAGCACCTCAGAGTCCTCTTAAACACCTGCGTGTAACAATCAGCAAACACACAGTGTACTTTGAAGGAGTACACTGAGATGCAGTAGGAGGGCCTTGGAAATTAGTGAGTGGTAAGGATCCACCGGCGTGACCATGAAGGACACCAGCTCTTCTAGAAAAAGCAGCTCCGAAAACAGGTTTTCAGCTCCTTTCAAGGCCATTTGTAGTTTTGCTTTGCTCCATTTGCAGTGAATATTTCCTTTTCATGGAAGAACTATGAACACACTTGATTGCTGGGTGCTTCTGCAGACCTCACTGACGCCATTTTAACTTCCAAAAAATTCAAAGTTTTCCAATGAACCTATCTGGTCCCGAGGACTTCAGATAAGGAAATGTGAATTTTATTTGCTGATATTAACAACAGGTGTGCTGAAATGATGCCTTAGGAGCAATAAGCTCCCCGTCAGCAGGACCTCATCTGTGTTTCCCAAGGCTGTGACCCCAGTAATCAGCACAGTGTCCCCCTCACAGGAGGTGCTCAGTAGGCTCTGAATGAATGAATGGGTGAATAGGGAAGGAATTATTTCAGAGGATGATAGAGAGAGAAACCAACTGGAATCCGTCCACACGGAGCCTTCAGTGGGGGTTAACGGTACAGGCTACCCTGGAAGCGAGGCTGGTTTGTAAGGACCAGTCGCACTGTGGGTGTTGATTGGTTTGGCTGGGGAGCCACAAGACCGCTGGAAGGGAGAGGCGGCTGCCTCTCTATCCGAAGTTTCCTGACTGATGGTGCTCCAGTTAGTGGAACTCCAGCTCTCCCCTTGCAAACTGTGCATCCAGGAGGGTGTGTGCGTCCGATTGAGTCATCTGAAGACACACTGGCAAGGCATCGCCATGCTCCTCTCATTAAAAATGCTTTTGAGTCTGTGGAACAAATAAATCAATACTTTTGGCTCCTCTCCCAACAGGGTTATTTCACAACGCAGAGTGCAAGATAAGGAATTTATGAACGATTGCATCCTTGTGCCGCCTTTCCCAGCAGGAGAAAGCAGGGCCTGGGTTGTCATTCTGGGAAAATCTACCCTTCTTTTATGCCCGGCAAATAATGTTTTATGGCCCCTGGGTTTATGGTGGTGTTTTAATGATCTGCTGTAGAAAGCGGTTTTCTCTCCAGTCGCTAGAATTTGTCAAGAAGGGCTGGAGGCCATAAAAGAGGGACGGGCCCCAGGGACAAACAGGCTCCATCTTCTGAAATAAACTAATAAAGAGCCCCAAGATGTTTACTCCTTCACCTCAGAGTCAAGACCAGCAGGGCCTTGTGAGGGGCCGCGCAGATGGAGCATTAAACAGGACAAAGAGGCCGGAAAGGGGTGAGGGCTTCCTCACACCACATGGCCACTGTCAAAGTAATCCCAGCACATTCTGCTGCCACCAGTCACCGCTCTGTGGAGGACAAAGGGTCCCTTGAGGTTAGAGGACAGTTTTGGACTCAGGGTTGACTCCAGGAGGCTCCCTAAGAATTGCCAGCTCTCCTTGTGCTGGGTCTGACCTAACTTAGAAGCCCCTCTTATTTTTAGGCTTCGGTATTTTGTGAAGGCCCTGAAAAGATGCTCTGGTTTGGGTTGTCCTTTCTTGTTTTAAAGGACATCCTGGCTCAGCAGGCATGAGACTGAATCTTAGCTCTGCCTCTTGCTCACCGGGTGACCCTCTAGTCACTTTTGAGCCTAAATCTCCTCACCTGCAAGGTAAAGATAAGAAACAAACATATTAATGTTGTCGAACAGGTGAGAATGTACAAAAGATCTCAGTTTAGCATCTGCCTAGGGTGATAGCTCCACGAA